GACAGACAGACAGACGGACAGGGCCAAATCAACTCAGCTCGTCGCCCTGATCAAGAATATATATACTTCGTGGGGTCTGCCACGCCTCCTTCTGCCTGTTACATACATTTCAGCAAAACCATTATACCCTAATTTCCCATTGAAAATGGGTTCAGGGTATAGAAAAACGTTTAAAAAAGCGTTTTATTAACCAATTTCTTAACTATTTTCTATTCAATTTCAGATGCTGAAATTCAAGAATGGTATAAGGGGTTTTTAAAGGATTGCCCGAGCGGTCATTTGTCAGTAGAAGAGTTTAAAAAAATATATGGAAACTTTTTTCCATATGGCGACGCTAGTAAGGTATTTCGAATATAATGCCCTTAACTGTCCTTATAGTTTTGTCACTAATATTTTGCAGCTAATAACCAAGAATACCAAATACGAATAAAGATCCGCTCTTACCATGTGCGACAATACTGTTGTCCAGGTGATAGTAGAATCTCCGGTTTCATTGCGCTATCTGATAAATTTACTAAATTAAATTTATATGAATAATACTAAAAGAGCTTCGTCAAAAAAAAAAAAAAATCGTATTTGGTGTCATGAATATTATGACAAAAACAATATTATAATCTTTATTATTTATGCGTGCATCGGATTGGATTTTATATAAAAACAAAAGCTATTTACTGTTATTGCATATTTGGCTTTCTTATCAAAATACAATACCTCATCGCTGTATTAAGTTTTTCTTATATAAGCACACATATACAGTTAATAGAATTGTATGTTAAATTATTGTCTATATTTTACTACACAAAATGCAGGTGTACCGAAATATATTTCTAAAAAAAAAATTTTTAGTTCGCAGAACATGTGTTTAGAACATTCGACGCAAATGGTGATGGTACCATCGATTTTAGAGAGTTCTTATGCGCATTAAGTGTAACATCTCGCGGGAAGCTTGAGCAAAAATTGAAATGGGCATTTTCAATGTACGACTTAGATGGAAACGGATACATATCGCGGCAGGAAATGCTTGAAATTGTTACGGTAAATATAATTTCTCTATGACATTTTTGATATCGTGCCATAAAAGGCTTTATTTCAGTATACTTCATTTTTATACCCCGAACCCATTTTCAATGGGAAATCAGGGTATAATCATTTTGTTGAAATGTATGTAACAGGCAAAAGGAGGCGTGGTAGACCCCACAAAGTATATATATTCTTGATCAGGGCGACTAGCTGAGTTGATTTGGCCCTGTCCGTCTGCCTGTCTATCCGTCCGTCTATCAGTATGTTTGAACGCGTCGATTTCAGAAGATATAAGAGATAGATACCTCTATTTGTGTGCGTGTGTCTTGTATAAGCATAAAGACGCGAAAAATGATTCAAATAGCTATTTCTCGAAGGGTTCAAGGGATCTCGTAGTCGAGCAGTCTCGACTAGAGCTTTCTTTCTTGTTACACCCTGAACCCATTGAAAATGGAAAATCTGGATAATAATGGTTTTGTTAAAATGTATGTAACAGGCGGAAGTACGCCTCCTTCCCCACACAGTATATATATTCTTGATCAGGGCCAGGAGCTAATTTTATTCTGTGTGCATATCTGTTACCTTTTTAGGGGAAAAGAGATACAGGATACAAATTTAACTTTTACTACAGATTATTACATATGTTATTCATTTAAAAGTTTTCATCAATTTTTTTTAGGCAATATACAAAATGGTTGGATCGGTCATGAAAATGCCAGAAGATGAAAGCACGCCGGAGAAAAGAACAGATAAAATTTTTCGTCAAATGGATAGAAACAAAGATGGAAAACTAAGTTTGGATGAATTTATAGAAGGAGCAAAAAGTGATCCTTCAATAGTACGGCTTTTGCAGTGTGATCCACAGGCACATTAGCTTAAAAATTAATAACACACAAGCAATAAACATTTTAACGTGAATTCATAAAATATTGGTTTGGATAAATAATGTAATTTAAGCAAATATAAACATAAATCAAAAAATTAGTTTTGTTGTGTTGCTTACAAGAATTTTTATACCCTGAACCCATTGAAAATGGGAAATATAATGGTTTAATGGTATAATGGTTTTCTTAAAAGTATGTAGCAGGCAGAAGGAGGCGTGGCAGACCCCACATAGTATATATATTCTTGATCAGGGCAACGAGGTGAGTCGATTTGGCCCTGTCCGTCTGTCTGTCCGTCCGTATGTATGAACGCGTCGATCTCAGAAGATATGAGCTAGAGACTTTTTTGCTAGGTCCGTGTTGTATATCACGCGCATATCAAGTTTTTCTCTAAATATC